CGTCTTTTGTTCATCGAGTGTAAATTGTTAGAAGGCAAATTCTAACTCAGATGGCGGTCCGGGAGCCGTATATTGTTCGGGCTGTTTTTCGGGGTATTATGTTACGTGAAAGTTGAGTAGGCCCGCTACTCAATCTTTCTCTGTCTTATGCATTGACTAAATGGGAAAATTAAAGTATAAATACGGAGTCCAAAAGTAAGAACGGGGTTAGAATTCTTCCTGCCTTTCTCACGTCCAGTTGACAAAAAAAGTGTAAGATTCAGTTATCTATAAGGTGACTCCCTTCTTTATACTCTTCAAGTATATTGATTGGTTTATCCCGTTTAACTATAAGGTGACAGCTTTTTTTGTTATATTTGGAAAACGCAGTAAAAGATATCGAGGGAGCAGATAAGTTATTTTCTGTATGAAACGACTTCTGTTGCGCTATACACCGTTACCTTTAAGGTGACTTCTTTCGTTATACATTTGTATATCGAGAGGTAGTTATGTGTTACCTATTAGGTGACCAAACAGACGGACGTTTTAAAAGAGCTTAATTTTTCTCTCTTCTAAGGGTTTTGTGGGATTGTATTTCCGAGTTATTGGATTCTTTGCGTGACTTGTCTTGGTAAACCGTTGCCTATGGTGACGACGCCGGATAAAGAACTAGCGAGTTATTTAGTACCTCTGATCCAATCGTATAAAACTTGTGGAAAACGACTAAAAGTATTGCGATTGTCGTTCTACTTTTGTCGACGATATCTTTTTCTTTGTTGTGTGGATCCCCGTACGTAGATTTTAGCGATAATCGTATCTTCTTTTAGACGTTACGATTATCGGGTTTTATCGCGGAAACGCCGTTCTAGAACATATTTCGAGATCAGCGTTTTCGACGCACATTCCTACCTAGTGTCCTTGGTATAGTATTCATGTATACAGCCGGGGGAGAGCAGGTATTGCAGCGTGGTTTTATTACAGGTATCATTTTGTAATTAGTTATGTGTTTAAAAGGGGAACAATTCTTATTTGGGTAAAATTTAGTAAATAGTAATTATTAAGTTATGTGGGTAGTTTTTTTTGCATTTCATTGTCAGGGAATTTCATTTCATAGGACAATAATTAATAATTAGAATTAAGGTCATAAAAATCAATTATTTTAAATCCAGCCACAACAACTAATAAACTAAGCCCTTCTGGTTTATGATCATAAGAATCAAGTGTCAAAGCCCTTTATTATTTTAGGGTTTAGGAAACCAATAACCTGCTTTTGTGGCTATAAATTGTCGTCTTTTGCATTTATTTAGATGGTAGACAGATGTTTAAATTTGTCGAGTCCTATTGTTAAGTAAATTACGGTAATAATATTTTCTTTCATTCTGTATGATGCAAAAGTGGGTAAAGTCATGTCTTATTTCTAAACGTTGATAATTTACTTTTTTGGGTTCTTTTTAAGATTGAATATGTACAGAGGCGGGTAACAATATAATTTTAGGTGTTATGTTTGGGTAAACGGACATATTAGGCTCATCTGGGCATCACTTTATAACATACGTTTTAGAACTCCGGTATAATTGTTATCCTTTTAGAAAAATGAGGTGAGATTGAGGTGGGACTACAGCTTGTGGTTTCGGAGCTGTCATTTATAGCATTGATTTGTCGGTAATTAGAGCAAAAGAGCCTTGCGCCGAAAAAGAGCCTTCAGCCACCCATAGTACGTGCAGAACCTCAATAGTAGGGCCTAAAAATATTACATTTTCTCACGTCTGTGGAACTAAAAGCCTGATAGAGGCTAGGATGGATCTTAAGAAAAGATACCCCAAAAGTGGGCCTAACGGGCATCCCCCTTTATATCAGGTGTTCTGTTGTCGTACAGGTTATTGTTGTATATGCAGTACTGAGCACAATCGTAAAATACGGTATTGAGATATCAGTGGAAAGGTGTTACGCAAGATGAGGTTAAACTTCTTATTTACATAATTATATCCATATTCATATCGCGCCATACTCTTCGTGATACCGCTGAACTTCACTATATCAGACAATACGTATGCAGGTATTATATTAGCAGTGTGTATGATTGTGCATTATAAAGGGATAACAAATATGCTGTAGTACTGTCATCATACTTTTACCGGTTTATGGGAGCTTAATATTCCTTCGGTTAGAAATGAGACATGGAAAAGGCCACACATGTGTTATGTTAAACTAAACAAACATTATTGTCAACTTCCCGCTATAAGAAATAAGTTTCAATAAAACTATTCTTAATCTATTTTTGTATTTGTTTTTTTTGTTCCTCCATTACAGCTACATTGAACTCTAAGCGAAATTTTTGGGGTCCTACAAAAATCACTTCGTGGGTATCTACTAGACGAAATTTAGGCCAAGGTTATGAATATTTGTAAAACTAAGTTAGGACCCGGTTTCTCAGGTTACAGATTTTGAAAAAATATTATTAAAAATGGAGTGGTTATGGGGAATTAAAATATTAAAATAAAAAACTTGAATTCTTCCAAAAAAATAAAGCTATAGGGGGGATGAAGACTATTGATTCTAAAAAAATCTGATTAAAATGGGGGCGAAGAGGGGGTTGTTTAACTGTGAAGAGTATCATATAGAATGCCAAGCATTATATATCTAGTCCTTCATTTATTTTATCAAATGTTGTCTTACTGGATATTTTATTTTATACCTTTTATTTTGTACTTACTGTTTCATTTGTTTTTATTTTATATTTCTACATCTTTGTCAACAAGATGCTGTCTTTGACGATAAAGCATTTTTTGATTTGATTTTAACTAAATAGATTTGTTACCTGGTGTAAAAATAATGCTCTTTATATGTTTCTAAATGTACAACCATGCATTTTACAAGATCCCATAATCCTACTCTTAACTGTTACAGTAAACAGCGTCGACCTACATAGTTCCTTGACAGTTATTGATCTGGGCATTATTTTTGATACCACAATATTTTTTTAACAACCACATAGATTCCATATTATTAAAGCGCTCAGAATGCTTCGCTTCATCAAGAGACATATTAGGTACATGAATGACACAAAAGCAATCATGACATTTTACAATGGCCTGATGACAAGTGTCCTGGAACTGTTCTGTTATTTGGCAATCTACTTACACCTATATCAATAGAATTGAAAGGGTGCAACGTAAATTCGTAAAATGATTGCTATTTAAACACCGATTTCATAGCCTTAACACATGTTATCAGACAAGATTATTGCTTTGTGGCCTGCAGAGCCTGGAAATCAGAAGAAAACAGGCTTTACTCATATTCCTGGCTAAATTAATAGGTGGTTCTATCAAGTGCAGGTCACTGCTTAAGAGAATTCAACTATTGATTCCTGCCCGACGGACTCGACACATATCACTTTTAAACGTAAAAAGACAGAACCAATTACGAAAAATAATTATAATAAATTTTACGTGGACCGCGATATATTTAATTGTAATATTTTAGCGCTAAAAAGGGACTTGCAACTCCATAACGTCTAAGTTTTACTCGTATCGTCCAGTGATGTTGTAGTATTTTTCCTTTTTTAATATTTTTTTAACTCACTACAATTGTTTATGTTAGGTTAGATATACTGTACTATTTGGAAATATTTTCTGTAAGTGCTATATTCATAAATTAGGCCGATATCGCACTATTGGCTAATATACCGATATCCATCAATTCCTAGCAATAATCGAGGTGACTCCTAACTAAAGTACAATAAAAAGTTTTAATAACAGTTACATCAGTGAAGGCGCGGGTCATTCTTTTAATAAATATGTTCATAGATTTACTTGTAACTGAAAAGATGTGGTGGTTAAAGCTAAGTGTTAAAAATAACTCCAAGATCTTTAATTTGTTTAATACTATCTAAAGGTTGACCATTGATTGTGTAGCCAAATATAGTGGACTGTTGAGAAAGATGGAACCAAATAATGTGACATTTTTCCATATTTAAATCCATACTGTTGTATTTTACCAATCGGATAAATGATTACTATCAGACTGTAAATCAATAGCATTTCCAAAGTTGTTGGCAGAAAACAAAAAGTTACCTACAGCAAGAAAATTTGCAAATTGTAAAGTGACTCTTACAAGCAGAAAGGAGAGTGTAAAATAATAGTTTGTGCAGAACAGCAGTTACCAAAACTTTGCTCAAGTGGCATATGCAAGTTGGAATAGATGAACTTTTTGCAGTTGTATAAACATTCGGAACGTGTAGATGAGGTGTACCCTTGTTACTTGTGTAAGCTCGCAGTTATGTAGAAGTAGAAGTCCACAGGTTGTTGTAGGTACAGAGCCAAAATGGAGGAACCAATTCTAGAAGTAATGGAGGATTTTATCGAAATATACACAAGTGAACCTTGCTTATAGACGGTCCAAAGTAAGGACTATCATGATGGAGAAAAAACAAACTGCTTTTTACAGGTTAACACCAAATAACATGTGATCCACAAAACATATTTTTAAAGTAGGCTATGGCCAACAAAGACAGATAAGAGTCGTGCCGTGATAACTACATACAAGTAAATTCAAACTCTCATTTAAAAAAGGAAAATTGTAAGCTCCGATATGAATTTTTTCCATGGCCTATTTCAGAAACATTTTTTGTAGATCACTCCATATAAAAGAAAGTGACCCACAAGAAGACTTTTTAAATTTTAATTATAAACCCAAGAAATCACCTTAAAAAAATTTTGATAGTACTTTTTCACCTTCAAGAAAATTTCCTATTCAGAACACTGAGCGTTCATGACTGAAGTCAATTACTAGGCAATGTTGCAACATATCAATCTGAAACTTAAAATTTTAAAGTTTAAAAACCAGGACTAAAATACATTTTTTCTCAAAATCATTTATGAAAAAATATATGAATGAAACAAATATTTACTTATAAGTATGTAAATATCTATCAATTTCTTATATGCAAAAATTAGAAGAATTTCCATTGACATACCATTTCCAAATTCTGTGTGTATTAAGTAACATTAATTTCTACTTACAAAACTTTGGCACCTGCATCTCTATGAAGTTTCTTTGGTGTCACTTTCAGAGGAGCCTTTTTTTGTGAGGGTGGATTCAACCTATAATCAATAGGTTTAAAATACCTCATTTCGGACTCAATGCAGTCACTTCCATCACTGGCAGCTTCTAAATCAACAATTTTCTGTAACTGTTGGATTTTTTTCTGAATTTTTGGGGAAGATTCTTTTGAACTTTTTCCAGTTTCCAGGCATAGCACACGACATGTATATTCCTTATTTACAAAACTATTAGCATTTATTGTTGTCGTTGATTCATTGTTTTTTTTAACGAATTTATCCATGGTAGCTTGTTTCTTGTAAACTATTCTCATTTTCGAGGTAGATGGATGCTTTGTAGCCAACTCTTCTGATAATTCTTTTGCTACATTCTCATCGATTTTTAATTTTTCTTCCATCACAGATTTTTTGTACTCCTCTTCCTCCCTAATTTTCTTTATCAGTTCTTCACTAGCTTTTAATTCTTCTTGTCTTTTTTTGTTCCGTTCCTCATCTTCCTTTTGTTTTTGGAGTTCATATTCTTTCCTAATCTCGCCCGGGTACGATACTATTACTTCTCGTTCTAAAAAATTAATAATTTACTTATTTCACTAGTGTCACTAATGTTTTGCATTCTTCTTACCTTCCTCTTCAATGTTTTCATCGACACCATCCATTTTATTCTTCACATGTTGTGGGAATCGTTCTTTAACAGCCCTCCAAAGTTCTCCGTTTATAAGAACATTACCTTTCGTAGCCTTTCTGAGCCACGAACCTATTCGCAAACGACAAAGGGGGCAAACCAGATTTGCATTTTCCATAGTGCCGTTGAAACAGATCATGCAGAAATCATGATTGCACGGAAGAGAGACGGGTTCAATTAAAATACTTCTACATATCGGACAGAGAACGTCACTCAAAGCTAATGCATTATAATCTTTTGTTTTTGATAATTTCGCAGATCTTGTAGCCTTTTTCGAAGCCATATTTACAATTTATTTTGACACTATGACAAAGACAACTGACAAGTATGAATATGAACGACAGTTTTAATCTCCGAGGAGTGCGTTTAGATTTTACACGGGAGTAGACTGATTTTCTTAGGACCAATTCCACCGTTGTGTTAAACGGATATTAAAATGAAAAATGTAATTTTAAACTTCGTTTAACACAACGGTGGAATCGGTTCTTAGATCGTCTACCCAGGTTACTCTAGACTCTAGAGTAATTCTCATTGGCCCAAAATTTCTGAACACGGTAACGAAAGTAAACGTCAACGAATTTGAAGCACGTGTGTCTTTTTTTCCACCGGTTTGTTGCAACCGTTGTTTCACCGATGCAGCCTTGAACGTTTTGTGTTAGATTCGATTTATTAATGGTTGACCGTTGAAATAAATAACAGTTGACATACCGCACCGATGCCAACGTTGCTGCAACAGTTGGATAAAAAGACACACGTAGCGCGTTCTGGAGGCGAGTTCGGATAGTCAGAGGCTGGAGTGGGACAAAAGCAGAGTTTTTTAGGGTGCTTTTAAATAACATTTAAGCGTGTTAAACTGTCACTAATCGGACTAAACCATGGAGGAAGGATAAATAAGAGTTACAGATTCGGACTAAACCGAACGCTAAAAGGGTCGTTTGGAGTAAAAAGTGTTAAAGGAGTTAAAGAAACTTGGCAGACCGAACGCAATGCTTGTCTACGAACCGTGTTGCGAACTCACCTATGCTCATTGCGTTCGGTCTGCCAAGTTCCTTTTACTCCTTTAACACTTTTTACTCTAAACGACCCTTTTAGCGTTCGGTTTAGTCCGATTAGTGACAGTTTAACACGCTTAAATGTCATTTAAAAGCACCCTAAAGAAACTCCGTTTTTGTCCCGCTCCAGCCCCTGACTATCCGAACTCGCCTGCTATGGCAAGTGGCAAATGGCAAGTGATTAATGAAGTAATGCAAATTTGAACTTGAACTTTGAACCACTAAATGCGGTTTTAATAATCTTTCCTCCATGTGCGGTTTTATTTCTTTATAATTTTAAACATGCTTATCACTTTTGCTAAATTGTGTCCGCAGAAAAATTCTGCTTGGTTTCATATGTTGGTTGCCATTTAATTTTCATTAGGTAAACAATCTATTTTTTGTTATGATCAATTTCACACGCCTATATTTTGTAGTTGTAAGAAACAAAAATGTTCGCCTGCGGTTATTGTGATAAAATTTTTAACTCAGAAAATGGAAGAGAAAATCACACAGCTAATGTTCATGGAGCAGCTAGTGCTTGGCTGCAAAATAAAGGAATAGTTCCAGTGAAGTCCTATGACATTTTAATGAAACAGCTGGATGCTCTTAATTTTAATAATTCTAAATTATCAAATGTACAAGTTCCACCTCAACAAACCTATCGGTGTACATTCAAAAATTGTTCTAAAGAATTCAAGTCTAAAGCAGCTAGAAGCAATCATTTCAAAGCCACCCATTCTGGAATAAATGACGTCAAATCGGGTACACCACTATCCTTTAGTTGTACATTTTGTTCTCAAATTTTTAAATCTATAAATGAATTAGAAAATCACAAAAAAGCTTTGCACAGAGTTCAGAATCAGTCACAACCTGTAACTAGCATATCATTAATGTGTGTAGATTGTTCTAAAAATTTTAACACTATTAAAGATTTAGATCAACACAAATTAGCCAAACACTCTTCACCACAGTTTCGAACAGCATCACAGCTACTTCACAAAGATATTCAATCTACAGATAATCTTATTTGTGGCTACTGTTTACTTCATTTCAATTCTGTAAACGATTTGGAACAACACAAAATAACCAGACATGGTGTTTCCAAACAACTTGCAACACCTTTACCTATTACTAAAACACAAAAGGCTAATCACAGTACTCCTAAAACTGTTCAGTTACTTTCAGTAGATTGTAAAGACTGTCATCAAAAATTTGAAACTTTACTTCAACTACTTCAACACAGGGAGAATAAACATAATAACAAATTTATATGTGATCTCTGTTTGCAATTGTTTAATGCTGCAAAAGATTTAGAACAGCATAAGACTTCTAAACATGCCTCTCCTAATATGCCTTTATCTTCTTCATCAAAATTACTAATTTGTCCATATTGTTCTCAAACATTCCCAACATCAGCTCAACTACTGCAACACAAGGAAGCCAAACATGTGGAAATTTTTGCATGTGGCTATTGCGCACAAAAATGTAATTCTGCAGTTGCTTTAGAACAACACAGAGCAGTTAAACATGTTTCCAATAATGTTCACCCTTCTGTTCTGACTTGTAAGGATTGCCCTCAACAATTCCCAACATGGACTCAACTTCTGCAACATAGAGAATCCAAACATAAAGACTTTTTTACATGTGGCATTTGCAAACAACAGTTTAATTCTGCAATAGATTTAGAACAGCACAAAACAGCTAAGCATGTAGCTCTTAAAACAGTTCAAGCTGGTTCATTGATTTGTAAAGACTGTTCTCAACAATTCCAAACATCTGCTCAGCTTTTACAACACAGGACTGCTAAGCATAAAAATAATTTTTCATGCAGCATTTGCAATCAAGAATTTAAAGCTGCAGTTGATTTAGAACAACACAAAACAGCTAAACATGAAGCTAGTAAACCTGTAGAGGCCCCTAAAATAGTTCAAACTCCTATATTAATTATAACTTGCACTTATTGTTCACAAAAATTCGAAACATCATCGCAGCTTCTGCAACATACAGAAGCCAAACATAAAGGCATTTTTGCATGTGACATTTGTGCACAACCGTTTAATTCTGCAATAGACTTAGAACAACATAAAACAGCTAAACATGGAATTGCCAAAACAGTTCAAAATTACTGCAAGTATTGTTCTCAAGAATTTCAAACATCGGCACAGCTACTGCAACATACAGAAGCCAAACATAACAATTTTGCATGTGGTTTTTGTCTGCAACGTTTCCACACTGCCAAAGATTTAGAACGACACAAAACAAATAATCATAGATCTCCCAAGAAAATTCCATCACAATTAGGAAATTCAATATGTTGCATGGATTGTTCTCAAAATTTTGGTTCCCTACAACAGCTGGTTCAACATAAAATTATCAAACATATGAGGTTCGTATGTAATTCATGTTTGCAATGTTTCGATGATTCGAAAGATTTAGAGCAGCACAAGCTGACTGAACACAGTCTTCCTCAGTCTTCAAATCATGATGAAGATACTTTCAGCAGTAAACGAATTAATGAAGAAATTTTGGTGGTTAAAAACGTCATATCTTGTATTTATTGCAGTAAATCATTTCAAAAATTGGAGCATTTGGAGCAACATAAAGATGCTGTTCACAAAAATAATGACTATTTTCCCTGCAGCTATTGCTCCCAACCTTTTATTACAGAACATGATAAAAAAATACACATGGAAAAAGTACATAATTTTCTATTTGAAGAGATTTTTGATGGCATAAATAGTGTAACGAAGCATGTTGAGAAATCATGTATGCATCCATGTGAATATTGTGTTGAAATGTTTAAGACCAAACTAGATTTGGGAAATCATGTAAAAACATCGCACGAACTTATTAGTTGCAGATTTTGCTATAAATTATTTGCAAATCCAGAAAGTGTCACTCAGCATATAAAAGATGCTCACAGCAATGGTACCTTGGTTTGTAAATATTGCTTCACCAATATATTTACCAGTCAATTATCCTTAAAGCAACATTTACAAAACGTGCATCAAGTTAAGTTCAATCTAGATGAATTATTGTGCAGTGATGATACTCCCAACAGTATCGAAACAATTCCAAGTGTAAATAAAAAGTTATTACCAGTAATATGCCACTATTGCACTGAACAATTTTCGGCAGGTATCGAATTGCAGCAGCATTTTGAAGATGTACACAAATATATCGACTTTTTCCCTTGTCAAAATTGCAATAAGGTATTTTTTAATGAGGCTGACAGGAATAATCATATCTATGCAAGTCACGTGTCCATGTGTGGATACTGCTACAAACAATTTGGTAATACATATTTTTTGAAGAGACACAAAGAAAATGTTCACAGGGATGTAGATTATTTTCCGTGCGATAGTTGTGAGGATATTTTCACTTCTAACATTTCTAGGAAGAAACATATCGATCAAAAACACACTGTAACTTGTCGATTTTGCTCTAAATGTTTTTTAGATTCTCATTTGAAGCAACATGAGGATGATAAACACAAAAATGTTGATTTCTTTCCTTGTGATTTTTGCAATCAGATATTTTCTTCAGAAATGTTGAAAAACAATCATAATAATGATGTTCATAATGTTAAATGTGATTACTGTACAAAAACATTTACCAACATTGAACATTTAAAGCAGCATGAAGCTGATAAACATAAAAAGGTTGAGTGTTTTCCTTGTAATACTTGCAACAAAGTATTTGATTCTGTACTAGCATTGATTGATCATTTGGAAGATGTTCATAAAGTTAAATGTGGTTACTGTTTAACTACCTTTCCAGATATCCACAGTTTAAAACAACATTTAGATGTTAAACATAAAAACGTTGAATTTTTCCCTTGCGATGTTTGCAATCAGATATTTTCTTGTGCAATTTCAAGAAAACAACATAATGATTGTATTCATCAGGTTAAAAAATGTAGTTACTGTTTAAAAACCTTCAATACAAATTTAGGTGTAAAGCAACATGAAGCTGATAAACATATAAATGTTGATATTTTCCCTTGTGATGTTTGCAATGATATATTTTCTTCAGCAGTTTTAAGAAAAAATCATACAGATGACATTCATAAGGTTAAATGTGGTTACTGTTTAAAGAGCTTCGACACAGTTGAATATTTGAAGCAACACGAATTTGATAAACATAAAACTACAGAATTTCCTTCTGAATCATCAAATGATAATTTTGTACAGTGTAGTTACTGTACAAAAAAATTTGATCAGGTCAGTCTTTTGAAGGATCACCAGGAATTTAAGCATAAGAATATTGATTATTTTCCATGTGATTATTGTTTAGAAACATTCCATTCTAATATTAGTAGAAGGAAGCACCATTCTACAAAACACGCTCCAAGCAAAAGTAACAGTCCTATAAGTGACGTATCGAATCTAAGTGATAGCTTCGTTTGTTCATATTGTTTGGATACTTTTCTTACTAATGAAAGTTTGGAAAAACATCTAAAAGAGATTCATAAACACGAAGAGTCTAGCCGTGATGGTTTATTGGATGGTATCTATAGTACAGAGTTGCAACAACAGTTGGATCATACTAATAAAGTCTTAAGACTAATTAGTGGAGATAAGTGATAGGTTTCAGATATTTTGTGATACTATTTTATATGTAATATTCAAATATTTCTAGTAAGCATTAATATGTACTTATGGAAGACCAAGGTGAATAGCTTTTTGTGTTGTTTCTCATGAGAGTTTTTCCTTTAATATTCCAAAAGAACTATTCATAAATATATCAAAAATAAATTTTTTCTTTGATTATAGTGATATTTCCTCTTAGTTTATTGTAGCTCTTTATGGTTTTGTTTCAGCTTCACGAATTATGTTTATTTATTTTTGTGCATTTATTATGCTAAGGAAGTTGAAAAGTCAGTTTTTAATTGAATTTATTATAGAAAATATTTCTAATACTTGAGAAAATCTACTGAAAAGTGCAGAAAATCATAATTCTGCCCTAAAAAATAAGAATGGACTGATTGTATTATTATTATTATATTCTGTTAGTTTTAAGGTTTTGATTTAAATGTAGGCATAAAAAAAAGAATTATTGGATTTACTGCCTTCAAGAGGCGATTTTTTATAGGAAATAGTTTTTGATAATATTAACACTTTTTATAAGCTATAAAAGTTGATTGTTTTTCTTTTAATAAAATGGGTTTTTTCATGATTTTTTTTTTATTTCAAAAATTGAAAAAAATATTTTGAGTTGAAAAACTTATCAAACCTTACAATTTTGTAGCTTCAACTGAAGTTTCAATCTAAGTAAAATTGGTAGTCTGCAAAACATTTTTACGTGTCTTTATTCACAGTCTGTTTGATGTATTTTATTTATAATTTACTGATTACACTTAAAACTAATTATTTATAAGATTAAAGTATTAGTAAACCTATTGTTTTGGTTTTTGTTTTTGAAATGGGGGATTTCTTCCACCTTGTCCTCCTGGTTTATTTCCTCTGCCTCCTCCAAAGTTACCTACAAACAATGATAGAACATGTACCAATGCAACTCTACTCATTAACATACAAATATTACCTCGCGCTGCAGGCCTGTTTCTTTGATTTTGTCCTCTGCCTCCTTTCATATCATTTCTACCTTTATTTTTAATAACGGTCTCTTCTTTTACCATATCAATAACTTCATCTGGTATACGTAGGTATTTAATCGTGCTCCCGCGAATGTAACATTCGGGCATCCTCCAGAACTTGTCACCATCCTAAAAAAATACAATGTAGCCTCTAAGTAACAAAAATAATGTCACAGTGTTTCTAACCCTAGAAGTACATATAACTTCTCTTAGATTAATATTCATCCAATTGTCACAACTGACCAAGTGCCCGTTGTAAGTTTCTCCATTCTTCAGCTCGACCAACTGAAATAGAACGATTTTGTTTAGAAATTAGTCAGGGAATATAAAAATTACTAACCATCGGATGATTTTGCGCCGTCCTTAGAAGTGAAAGTGGAAGCTACAAAATAAATTAGTCAGAATATTTCATTACAAGAAAAATAAAGAATTACCATTCTTATTTGTTTTAATTTGGGCCGATATATGTATAAAAAATGAACTATTTTGATTTAAGATTTAACCTCAAAAACATCTGACAGTATTGAAAGTTGATGTTAGTGACTTCCAGTGTTGCCAGAATGAAGAAAAGGACAAAAACGTAATATCTTCCTCCATGCATGATATTCTTGAAACTATCGAACAGTCTAGTACAATTGTACTAGATCTAGTACATTCTCTGAGAATCTGGTACTCTAGTACACTCGACACAATATCTGGTACTTTTTTCAGCGTATGTTTCCATTTGAAGTGTAAAATATATTGGTCAAAAATTGCAAGAGAAATTAAAATAGTTACTTGTTTAAAAATTGTACGAGAGATCAAATATTGTTAAAAAATGGTTTGAGAGGTAAAAAAGGGTGTTAAAAATTTATCAAAGTATAAAATAGTATTAGAAATTGCTTGAGAGGTAAAATATTGTTCAAAAATTGCTCTAGGGATAAAAATACTGTTAGAAATTTAATGAGAGATAAAAATATTTAATAATTTTTCCAGAGATTAAATAGTATTATAAATTGTTAAATTCGTGTTCAAAAATTGCTCGAAGTAAAATAGTATTACAAAATGTTAAACCCTGGTTCAAAAATTGCTCGAGGGATAAAATACTATTGAAAAATTTGTTGAGAAATTAAATATTGAACAAAATTGACTCAAGAGATACCTACTATTAGAAATTTCTCGAGAGATAAAACATTGTTTAAAAATTCCTCGAACGATAAAATACTATTAAAAAATGCTCGAGAGATAAAATATTGTACAAACATTGCTCGAGATATAAAACATTGTCAAAAATTTATCGATAGTTAAAATATTTTTATAAATCTGTCGAGAGTTAAAATATTGTGCAGTTTGCTAAAGAGATAAAAAAAGTTGTTTAAAATTGCTCGAGAGATAGAATAATGTTAGAAATTTATCGAAAGATAAAATATTGTTTAAATATAGCTCAAGAGATAAAAAAGGTTTAAAAATAAATTGCTCGAGAGATAAAATAGTGTTAGAAATTATTAAAATTTTGCTCAAAAATTGCACGACAGATCAAATATTGTTCAAAAATAGCTTGAAAGGTTAAAGCTGTTAAAAATTGCTCGAGTGATTAAATAGTGTTAAAAATTGTACAAAAAATTTTGTACAAACATTTCTCGAGGGATAAAAAAGTTGTTAAAAATTGCTAGAGAGATAAAATACTGTTATAAATTTGTTTAAAAACTGTTCGAGAGATAAAATATTATCAAAAGTTCTTAAATCTTTTTCAAAAATTGCTCGAGGGATAAAATAGTGTTAAAAATTGTTAAAATTATAGTTCAAAAATAGCTTGAAAGGTAAAAAAAGGCTGTTAAAAATTGCTCTAGTGATTAAATTGTGTTAAAAAAAATATTGTACAGACATTGCTCGAGAGATAAAAGAAGTTGTTAAAAATTGCTCGAGAGATAGAATACTGTTGGAAATTTATCGAGAGATAAAATATTTTTTAAAAATAGCTCGAGAGATAAAATATTTTTTAAAAATAGCTCAAAAGATAAAAAAAAAATTTTTTAAAACTGTTCGAGAGATAAAAATAATATCAAAAGGTATTAAAATCTTTTTCAAAAATTGCACGAGAGATCAAATATTGTTCAAAAATAGATTGAAAGATAAAAAACTCTAAAAAATTGCTCGAGGAATTAAATAGTGTTAAACATTTTACAAAAAAATTTGTACAAACATTGCTCGAGGGATAAAAAAAAATTGTTAAAAATTGCTCGAGAGATAGAATACTGTTAGAAATTTATCGAGAGATAAAATGTTGTTTCAAAATAGCTCAATAAGAGTTAAAAAAAAGATTTAAAAACTGTTCGAGAGATAAAAGAGTATCAAAAGGTATTAAAATCTTATTCAAAAACTGCTCAAGATAGAAAATAGTGTCAGAAATTTGTCGAGAGATAAACTATTGTTCAAAATTGTTGTGTTCGTGTTCCCTATAAACCTTTTTTTGGTCTTTAATGACCATACTTCATAATTAGAAAAATGTGGTAATTTTATAGAATCTAGTACATTTTTATGAAATCTGGTACATTTTTTAGATAAATCTGGTACATTACAAAAATATATTCTGGCAACACTGCTATCGAATCCTCCCGGATTGCCAGACGCAGAATAAAAGCATAGAATAACCACTATTCTGTGATAAAAGGTCTTTACCTCTTCGAAGTTCAATAATGTGTTCGTCCATTCTTCTAATTTGCCGCCATTTAAATTTTCGTTTAGTAATGTAAACTTCGTTTAACACAACGAAATCGGCCCTTATTTATATTGGAAACGTTCAGATTGTGTTTTATATTAGCTGTTTCTGATATTAGACAAGGAGAAAAAGCTGGTCGTATTGGCTGCCGCATTCGAAAGAGCGAGACGGCTGCTAAATTGAGTGGGGATGGTTTGTGCGAACTTGCATATCTGAGGTGAGAGCACGCGTGTTTAGGCTCGATTCCACCGTTGTGTTAAACGAAGTTTAAAATGACATTTTTACATTAACAACGTCATTTTAATCTCCGTTTAACACAACGGTGGAATCGGTCCTGAATCTACTAAATTAATCCATTCATTTATTATGCCTTTATTGGAAGCATTCAGATCGTGTTTTATATTAGGCAGACATACTTATAGCTGTCGCATCGGATGCTAAATTGAGTGGGGATGGTTTTTGAGAACTTGTTTATCTGAGGTGCGAGCAGTTAATCCATTCATTCAAAATAATTATGCCCTTATTACCTAACTCACTAAAATCTGTGATGTTAAGTCACGTTTTTTATCCGCACACGATAAGTCAAAAACGAAAAATGCCATGAACTTAAAACTTCAGGAAAAATCAAGCTCCATAAGGGCCAATTCCACCGTTGTGTTAAACGGAGATTAAAATGACATTATTAATGTATAAATGTAATTTTAAACTTCGTTTAACACAACGGTGGAGTCCTAAGGAAACAAAACCTTTTGATTTAAACAAATCTGAATAAAACTAACCCCCCATTTTTACAAAAGGGGGTGTTTAAAAAATCCTGAAAAACGAAAAATGATATAATTATGAAGTTTCTAGCCAAAAATCAAGCCCTATAAGGGTCGATTCCACCGTTGTGTTAAACGGAGATTAAAATGACATTGTTAATGTAAAAATGTCATTTTAAACTTCGTTTAAACCAACGGTGGAATCGGTCCTTAAAAGATGAAGCCTATTGATTCTGAAAAGCTCTGAATAAAAATATGGAGTTTAAGGGGGGTTGAAATTAAACAAAAATCAAGTAAATCAAAAACGAAATGCGATATTAACATATATGAAATTTTTAGTAAAAATCAAGCTCTATATAAGGAAATGAAGACTTGATTCTGAAAAAAATTCGAAAGACGCTTAAATGGTGGTTCCCACCTCATCGAGACTGAGGCCCACAAGGGTAAACTTGTAGCATAAAAAAAACGAGAAATGATTTAACTTGAAACGAAAAACCGATAGTAATATTAAGACGTTGAATTTTTTGGTGTGTGAAGCATCAGAGCTGGGTAATTAGATGTACTTTAAAAATAATTACAATTACAAAGTACTTTTTCAAAAAAGGAATTAATTACAAGTACAAAGTACATGTTGTAAAAATAGGAATTATATTGATTTAATTACAATTACATGAAAAAAAGGAATTCGCAATTACTTTTATAATTACTTTGCCGATAAAACAACAAATTATCATAGAATTGAGGAACCATGAACCAACCGGACCGGTACAAATAAAATTTTTAAATAGGTAATTCAGTGTCAAACTAACAGCCGTTTGTACCAACTTTCTTAAGGATTCCTTAAAGTTTAAGATATCTTAATGGCGGGTTGTATAAATCTTACTTAAAGTTAAACTTGGTTTGAGGTGACACGACAAATTTTGTATGGCGTAGGTACAGTTTAAACACCATTTAGCACTTTAGGGCTTGTTTTCCCAAACATTAGACTGCACATATATAGCATTGGAAATTGACATGTATCACCTAAAACTGAGCTTAAGCTTTATACAACCAGCCTCCTAAGTGTATTGATTTCTGTACCATTTAAGGTCTTCTTAACTTGGAATAGACAAAATCGATAAGCAGTATAAAAAATGGAACAGGTAAGTTTATAATAAAATTTTAACTTTTAACTTTAATCAAAAAGATAAAATAGTTAACACTAAAAATATTATTTACATTCGGTGCGGTAATCATCTCTGCTCAAAAATTATGTGATACCTTTTTATTTTTGTCGTTTAAGCTTCTTGGGATACTTCATAAAAGTTCAAAACCAATTTTTCAAATATCATACCCTTGAAACATTTTTTAACAAGAGTAGACCACAGACTGTAAGAAAAATATTTGGTATAAAATTATTAATAGTTTTTACTTTTCATCAAGCAGGCAAAAAGTAATGACGCCTGATTTGTAGATCTAAATATAATTGTTCATAAAATGTTTACATTGTTATTTTTCATATCAAGTTTTTTTAAATTTCTGTCGGACAGCGCATGCCTTTTGGGCCAATTGTGGCAAAGGAGTATAATCTCTCAAACGGACCCACAAGAAAGTAGTGCCGTATTATATTTAAAAAACACTTTTCTCATCAAGGGCTGGCTATCTAGCATCGTAATATTTTTTCTTAAATCATCGAGATATTTGTAACTGTAGCTCATTTTTTTTGTAGAACCGAAGGTGTTACGTCTTCATTGAAATTAAAAAGTCATCTTTATAATATCTTTGGTTGTAGTACTAATAAAATTAGCTTTCAAATGAAGTGTCACACTTTACCAAATGTAATAATTGTTTATCCCGCTAGAGGGTGCTAAAATTAAAAAAAACGCAATGAACAGTCATATTGCTGAATTGCCCATAAAATTACCTTTCGGACGATGTGTCATACTTGGTACTTTCCTTATTTAAATTGTATTGGTTAGATTGACGTAGGGGAGAGGAATGATATATGACAGATGAGGATATTATAGGAAGGTGCCCCCCTTGAAATAAAAATCGACCTGTTTTTGCGTTCCTTTCAAAAAAATTCAACTTCATGATATTCTGAGATATGGCCGGTCGCCACCATTAATGAATCACCCTGTATATAATATTAAAATTATATTGAATAATCTAAAATGTATCGTTCTGTATCCCGTTCGTACAAACAAAAATAAGACACATTTTACTCAAATTTGGTTATATAGACCATCAAATAATTTCTTATATATAACATAAAATATATTTATATTCTATTACAAGTGCTATTAATTTAATTAAAATATTACATGTTCTACGTTAAAATAAAATACTTGTAAACGCTAAAGTAACAGAATACGTTTATTAAAATAGTTACTCCTTCATTTCAATGTAGAAAACTAGAATAATAACTAGAAATACCTACGCAACGTAAATAAGTAGTTTTTAGGATTAACTCCATAAAAACTGCTATTTGCACCACTTCATACTATATTTCCTTAGTTTATAATGTTTATTCAACATAAATTATGTTTATAATAATATAAATAAAAAAAAAACGTCTTGTAAATAAGGATATCTGCATCTAGTTACTATTTTATTGTATTTTCGTGATCACGGCACAATGCTTTCTTCAAATGCATTCGAACAAATGATATGGATGCGAGTCTGAGCTCTAGTGACCGTTCGAATAGGACATTTCTTGTTTTCATATCATGTGTACATCTCAAACACGCATTTAAAAGTAATTGTAATTAAAAAATATAATTGTACTTATAAATGTAATTGTAATAAGTAATTGTAATTGGAAAAAGTAATTGTAATTGGAAAAGTAATTGTATTTAGACAATTTAAATAGTATAATTACAAAGTACAATTCCTCCACAGATTTTGCTGCAATTCCAAATTACTTAAATATAATTACATGAAGAAGAAAAAAGTAATTGTAATTATTAATTAGTTTTTAACTAGGAATTACCCAGCTCTGTGAAGCATTGGCATTACTTAGGTAAAACCATGTAATAATTTTCACAAGTCTTGATTTTTAAAACCATTCTATATTGCCTTTTGATTAGAGTTTACAAACTTGTTCGAGCAATTTATCCAATAATATGTGGCCCCTTTACCTCTTAAGCCTGCTCATGTAAAATTTTTAGGCTCCTTACTTTGCTTAGGACCGATTCCACCGATGTGTTAAACGAAGTTTAAAATGACATTTTTACATTAACAATGTCATTTTAATCTCCCTTTAACACAACGGTGGAATCGGCCCTTATTTATCTAAAAATATTTGGTCCCTTTTAAATATGCCCATGTAAAATTATATGATCCCTTATTTTACTCTCTTAGATCTGTATTCATGTAAAATCATTTGCGCCTATTGTCACTTAAGCCTACCTACGTATAAAAATTTAAAATAGATTCAAAAAAGCGGAAACATCTTTTTTCATTTTAATAAATTTATTAACACCAATTCTTTGGGCAGTGCATTATCATTATGATAGTTTAAAACTAGTAGTGTTGGACGACTACTGATGTATTTTTTATATATGTTTTAAAAAAATTCGGTAATTAAAAATTTTCGAGTTGTTTTTGTCTTGGTTTTGGAAAAATTTACTAAAAAAGCTAATCGGTCTTGTAAATCACTAATTTTCATGCAATGCATCTCATTGGCTGGACAAGCTTCCATTATACCTATTATTAAAGACTAAGAAATAAATTCCTTATTGTAATATATAAAGGAAAACCTTAATCAATAGACTTTTATCGTCTGCAGCTTACTAAAAAAATTGATCAAGGTCTTGTATATCACTAATTTTCATGAACTACATCTCATTAGCCCAACAAGCACCCGTTTTTATCCGTTATATTCTTAAAAGAGTACGTCAAAGTTTTATCCTCAACATTTCTAAACTGTTTTCAATAAGGGCGATCAATTATTTAAAAAATAAAACACAATTTACAGATTTTATTTATTTTTTGTTAAACGTAATGTGAAATGTCACTATACATTGCCTATTTTTCGTTTTTTAATTTCTTCAATTTTTCGATTTTAATTTTTTGATTGTGGGCCGTAGAAAAAATATACTATACAACTCGAGTGGATTTTCCATATCCACTCTTGTTGCACAAAATACTAATTTTCTACACTATCATGAATATTAGCTTATCTACGTACATACTACAAAACGAACAAGTATGCTATTGTGTTCAATTGAACGAATATATTTCATATCCATTCTAGGTAGTGAGAACACTAAGAAAAATGAAATCCACCAATCACACTAACTACTATTATTTTTATAATTTAAAATAAGGTGTAAGGTTGCAACTACGAAAGTCGCAACCCCCCCTTAGAAATATAACTTTACAATCAGCAGCTGTTTTGTTTGACAGGTCGTTGGAGAATGTTTGCAATTTATGGAATGTTAGGAATTTTAGACGTTAAGAATTCTCGGAATGTGCAAAATTAGTCACATGAAATACATGGGAGGATTTTAAGAATATTAATATTAAAGTAGTTAGGATGAACCCAAAATTCTGAAAATCAATAGGGTTCTAAATTAGAAGCAGTTATTCAAGAAAATCAAAACCGCAAGTCAATCAGAACCTTCGTTCTCGAGTTATCGTGCCGGCATACATACACACAGACGACCAGACGAAATTTTTTTTATGCATTTTCGAACTCAGAATGATCGGAAATGTGAAAAAAAGTTTAAAAAAATGGGGGTAAAAAATTTTTTTCGTCTGCACGAATTCAATACTGAGACCCCATAGGAAGGGCCGCAGTAATTAGAGTAAAAATGCGGAGTGCAAATATTTAAAAAAATCCTAACTCAAAAACGAAAAGTAAAATCAACTTGAAATTTTTGGCAAAAATCATGCCCTATAAAGGGATGAGCCTCTATTGATTAAAAAAAAAAGAATAAAATGGCGGTACAGGGGGGTTGAAATAATAAAAAAATAGAAATAAAAATCCAAAAGCGATATCAACATGAAATGTTTAGTAAAAATCAAGCTCTCCAAGAAAATTAATAAATAAAAATTGGGAGATAAAAGGCGACTTGAAATATTAAAAAAAATCTTAACTCAGAAATGAAATCTTCAGGAAAAATCAAGCTTTATAAGCGGATAAAGCCTATTGGATTCTGATCTGATTGAAAATGGGGGTGGGTTAAGTGGATCTGTTAAGCTGTGAAGAGAATGCCAAGCGTTACACATCTTCATTCTAGTTATTTTTATATCAAAATTTTAGCTTTGACTTGGTGTGATATCTATCAGGGGTTAGTGTTGCTTGCTTCTTTCGTAAGAAGAAAAAATAATAATAAAAAGAATTTAATGACAATTTCACAAATTCTTTATTATTATTTTGTTAGATTAAGCACTTAATTACAAATAATTATCTTTTATTCATTTATTGTGTTCTCAAAATAAAATTTGATCTTTAAATGACTTTTATTCAAAAAAAATTGTTATGTAAGATATTTCAAATATTATATTTCTGAGTAGGAAATTGCAAGATCTATCAAAATCAAGAAAAAAAATTGGGGTTACTACTTAAAAAATTGTCAATGACGTCACTGCCCAAAAATGTGAAGTGGGGGAAAATTGAATTCTACTTAAAAAATTGCGCTTTGAGTAAATAAAATTGACCTGTCCGAGCATTTTTTCGAAAAACCAACTACTTCCATTATAATGAATTTATTCCTTTCATTTGAACCATACTGTATGTATGGCTTATAATTGATTTGACCATATATCGACCTTATTTAACTTCCTTTTCAGCTTTCGGAAATTCTGTAATGTAACCATGATTTAACCCCATTATTGTTACCCTCTTAGAACCGGAGTATATCAGCTTAACCCAGAACTTTCCTTACCTCCATCTGTGGCTACCAGACTTTTGAAGCTGTATCATAAAAGTTGTGGAGCCAAGCCACATTAATAAAACTGGCGCCTGAGTGTCACTAGTAACAATCGGTTCCCCTGTAATGAGAAAACATCCTACACAGTAACTGTTACATTTAGAACAAAATCATTACAAAAAATAAAACAATTCAATAAAAAAAAACTATTTATTTGTTATTTACAATGTTTCTAGTCTTCTTTAAATTACAACAGGACGAAGAAGACACTCAACTTCTCTGATCACTCAGATTTGGCCAACTACAAAAATAAATATTAATTAGAATTAATTAAAATTCTCCAAATAATTTTTTAAAGAAACCAGATTTAAAATTACCTTCTCTGCTTTTAGTTCTCCTTTTTCATCAGGATTTTCTGGCTTCTCAGATACAAGAGATGTCACCGAAGTTTTAACTGAATCCCACAATTCTGTTACGCTGGTGGGAAATGGGGGTAATGAGGGCAATTCAGTTGGTGGGTCATCTTTCTTTGCTAAAACAAATTAGGACATTAAAAATCAACAGTAGCAATATTCAGGGTAAGTTTAGACAAACACTGAATTTTCAGATTTTTCTAATTAATTTATTACCTCCTGTAACAAAATTATAGGTAACTAACAGATATTTCTTCCCCTCTATAACTCCAATCTGTCCATATTCAGAAGCTTCTTTAGGATAACAAACAGCGCCGATGCCCAAAGCACCAATTGTAGCATATAGAGTTCTTTTTATATACCCTCCTCTAAGGCCAAAAATTAAACCTGTTAAAGCACCAATGCCTATTGCTCCTACTTTTGGCAGAGTATTGTTTTCTTCTTGTAAATAGGTTACGACCCCTAAAAATGTTATATTAAACATCTCACCAATCTTTTTATTGTCAAAATTCTCGTTAAATGAAAATCCATAATACATGCAAATAAAAATCTTACAGTCTAATTCATCCTTTCTTTTATGAAATTCCTGGACTCCAACTTTTTTATATTGATTATATTCATGGTTGAATTTCACCAACTGTACTCTTAAAGATCTGATAGCACTTTCAATTTTATCTAATTGAGGACTTCTATGGTCTACCGGTTGTAATTTCAAAGTCGGTTCTGGGGTGTACAGGGGAAGTTCACTAGGTCTCATTAGACATTCCTCTTCCTTATTTTGAGGTTCGTTTTTGGTTTTAACTACCTGTACAGCTGTAGCAGCCAGTGAAGGAACGACACATATTTTTAATATCTAAAATTGATTACAAAATAACTTATATAGTATATAGCATATATATCACTGTGACAACACCAGTAGGGTAGGTATATAATTTACTAATTTATATGAATTTTATGATATATTAAACTAAATATATCTATTATACTTCACAGACTTTATTTTTACCTTCATACCTGACTAGAAAACATTTTCAAAGCAATTTGAGTGGAGTAGTAAATACTGTAAAGAGTAAAATGCGAAACTGCGGAAAATATTTTAAATTACATAAATGGATGATTGAAATGACAACCTTTCAAAATTGACAACATGCTGAATGACAACGATGACAACTGACAAGACAACCTATTCTCGTCCAACATTGCGTTCGGTCTGCCAAGTTCCTTTAACTCCTTTAACACTTTTAACTCCAAACGACCCTTTTAGCGTTCGGTTTAGTCCGATTAGTGACAGTTTAACACGCTTAAATGTCATTTAAAAGCACCCTAAAATTTGTCCCGCTCCAGCCCCTGACTATCCGAACTCGCCTCATTAGGCATTCCAAACAAATGAATTACCAGTGGGCAGGTTTGGTATATCTAAGGGTGGCGACATATGGTGTATTCTATCTACTTTACGTAAAATCATGAATAATGGATGACATTTAAATATTTTATGTCAAACACAATAAAAATAATATTTAAAAAACCCACCTATACATTTTTTCATAAATTGGCAGGCTTGGCGAGTACTACTTCGAATAAAAATAGCGTCCAAGTTGCAAGACTATGTCGCTACCCCCTTAAATATACAAGAATTTCCCACTGGCACCTATTGTTTGACAGGTCGTTGGAATGCCTAATGGACATGAGGGCTGAGTTCGGTTTGGCGTTCGCTGTACTCAGAGTGCACTCGGTATGCCTCGATTGTGGTCGCCTTGGCACTCAGAGCGCACTCTTTTGTGTTCGGCTTGCCACAGATCATGTACTCAGAGCGCGCTTACTCTTCCCTGAGTTGGCCGATGGAGATCAGGGATGCGTTCAGAAATCGAGAGTGTCAAATTTTCAATCGTCCGGACAAAATTCGTCGAAACGTTTATTTTTGCCCGATAAATACGAACGGTAAGTGCAAAGTATTGTCAAATCAAGTTTTTGGTTATGTCTTTTCTGTTATCAGGATACCTATTCTCTAACTCATGGGAGCACTCCCACACTCCCATACTCCCATGCCAACGTTGCCAAGTCGACAGAATAACTTTGATCTACTATTTAAGGACCGATCCACCGTTGTGTTAAACGAAGTTTAAAATGACATTTTTACATTAACAATGTCATTTTAATCTCCGTTTAATTCAACGGTGGAATCAGCCCTTAGTAATTCAAATTTGCTTTGTGATAAATACGGACCTAATCTGGCAAGCCCGCAATTCTCCCTCCCATAGTATAAAATCTGACCTTACTACGCATGTACCTGGGCTAAAAGTGAGTAAGCACGATATACCCACCTAAGAGTAAGAGAGCAAAATATATGGGAGCGCTCCCATGACTTAGTGAATAGCTATCCTGGGGGGCTATTTTCAAAGTCGAGAGAATTCATTTCTCTCGAGAGAAATGTCATACGTCAACGTAAAACAGGAATTTTTAGGGTCCTAAGGGCCAGTGTGAACTCACTGATTGTTTCTCACGGTTTATTTAGAGATAATTAATATCCTCCTAAGATTTTTAATCCTCGAGGCCTTTAAAAACAGCGTTTCCACATTGACGTATGACATTTCTGATGAGAATCTTGAGAGAAATGAGTGCTCCCATACTTTGAAAATAGCCCCCCAGGGGAGCTATTTTCAAACTCGAGAGAATTCATTTCTCTCGAGAGAAATGTCATACGTCAACGTAAAACAGTAATTTTTAGGGTCCTAAGGGCCAGTGTGAACTCACTGATTGTTTCTCACGGTTTATTTAGAGATAATTAATATCCTCCTAAGAATTTTAATCCTCGAGGCCTTTAAAAACAGCGTTTCCACATTGACGTATGACATTTCTGATGAGAATCTTGAGAGAAATGAGTGCTCCCATACTTTGAAAATAGCCCCCCAGGGGAGCTATTTTCAAACTCGAGAGAATTCATTTCTCTCGAGAGAAATGTCATACGTCAACGTAAAACAGTAATTTTTAGGGTCCTAAGGGCCAGTGTGAACTCACTGATTGTTTCTCACGGTTTATTTAGAGATAATTAATACCCTCCTAAGAATTTTAATCCTCGAGGCCTTTAAAAACAGCGTTTCCACATTGACGTATGACATTTCTGATGAGAATCTTGAGAGAAATGAGTACTCACACGGTTTGAAAATAGGTCCCCAGGGGACCTATTTTACGTTGACGTATGACATTTCTCTCGAGAGAATTGAATTCTCTCGACTTTGAAAATAGCACCCCTGAGATTGTGGGAATTATCAAAAATTAGTAAATAGGTAACATCATTGACGTCCACATATACTTTTTTTATGTAAAAATTCAATTCATTACCTTTAATCCTTTGTCATAAAATTTTATCATTTTCTATAATGAAATTACTATCGTTTCTAACAACTAGACGATAATTGATGGAATTAATTCTCTCACTCATACTCACATTTAAATATTTTTTAATCAAAAAGTAAAAATAGGAAATTAAATACTGGGTGGTTCTCTTAGGTTAATTAGGGTTATGCATAGCCCTCAGAAAGTCTAGATACCGCTTGGCGTATGCTGTCAATACAAAAAAATTACCCCATTCAAGCTTGTCGCCATGTTAGGTAAATTTATGTTTTGGCTACACTGATTTTTAGTTTGTGTGTTCTGTAATACGTGAACACCGATAATCTGCACTTTGTTATTAGTTATAAGTGAGTGAGACGCACAATTTCTAATTTCAAATTAAGAACAAAACTTTGACAAACCTATTTGATTTTCCTAGATCTGTTCAGACAGGACCGGTTTTATAAATTTTCTCGTTCTTGAAATTTTATTTTTACATGGTTATATATATATTATTGGATAAGTGTTTTGTGTACATATTGCTATGAGAATTATAGAGAAATTCAGTGAGATTTATGTAATATAATTCAAATTACAAGTAAATTATCTGTTCCTGTTTGGCAATATGGAGAAAATACCTACTTCGATGTCAAATGTACTATTTAAAAGAATGTGATTGTTAACCGGTCATTTATTTATATTATGATAATAAAAACTCGATTTTTTTAACTAGGGAAAGATATACTTACTTAACAAGGTATTTTTAGAAAAACTAATAGATTACTCCTATTCCTATAGTTTATTTGAAAATTAATAATAGCAAAATTATATAAAAATATAGACCTTTGCCATAAAAACTGTGCTTCCAACCATTTTCAAATAACCTATAATGATAATTTGATTTAATAGAGCGAGTATAAGATCTCACCTGTTAGAGAAATTGGGGCATAGGGAAGAGATTATGAAGCAGGTAAGCAAAGTCGTTGCAAAAGATAAGTATATAGAAGTTATTTTAAAAATTTGATAAAAAACTAGTGGAACAATAAATGGAGTTGTCGCTATCGAAGATCCAATCAGCAGAAAGTAAAAAACAAACTTTGGGAATGTTGGAAAAGGGCACAGCAATAGGCCCGAAACAATTCCTTGGTTTTTTAATAAATATAATCTTGTGAGATGCAAAAAATACTGCTAGAGTAGAGAAGCAGTATTGTTCTAATGTAGAAAACCCAGGGACATACAGCAGTGCATTAACCATAGGCGAATAGTCACTAAATTATACAAGAGTCCCATCTCGATTTTATTTTTAAATATTTTTGAGAATACCTATTATTATTTGTTACATTGAGTTTAATAAAACCACATATTTCGAATGTATTGAAAGTTTTTTAAAAAGTACCTCTATAAATATATAGAAAATGTGTATATGACTAACTGGTTTTATTAATCTTTTTTTGGGGTAGGTAAATATATTTTGAAAAATTTACAATCTTCTTTTGAATAAAATACAAAATATTTCTGTTTTTATTAACTGAACAATATTTTATACAAACATAATATATAACTATTTAAAAGAAAATATTACATTTTACAAGTATCGCATATTTATATGAAATAACTTACTCAATAAGAAAGAATTAAATGAAACAAATTAATAAACAATGGATATGAAAAATTGCTTTAACAATCCTTAGATAAACTTATTCTTACATATTGCTTTAATAAATTTATTTACTATAAAAGTATATTTCCTAACATTTATTACATGTAATAAAATAAAGCATAAAACATACAAACTATAATATGTACCTACTTAGAACGGAACTAATATTATTGTATCAAGGTAGTAATAGTGGACATTTTCCGAATAAAAAAAAGTAAAAAAGAAGTAACGGTCGACATGTTTTTCTGACTATTGGTCTTCATCAGTACGGTGCAGCCAAGTTCAAAGGATCATGGAACGTGTGTTGGAAAAATTGTACAATAGGTCACTAACAAGGAGCCAATAACACATTTGCCGTTTCAGCTAGTATCCCCAAATTTTCTGGGCTTATACTAAAGTCACAAAATGATTCAATGGTCTTCCTAAGGCTATCAGTTATTCTTTCCTACATTTTTTTGGTATGCTACAACAAAACACAAATTATTTGATTTTGATAATATACAAATATTTTTGAAAACTTACACATGAAATGTTATTCCTTCCTTGTATCTTCTACCGTTGGATGCATTGTTACATACACGTACAAAACAACAAGAGATTTTGAAAATCCTGTAAAAATTTAACACCAAACCACAAATGTTTTTTATTAAAATAAAACACTAAACGACTAAACTAAAAAATAATGTTTTAAATAAAACCTTTACTAGAAGAACAAAATAAACAACACAACAGATAATAAAATCGATTATATACGTCGAACGCCGATCTTACGCTTATTACATTGATAAGGCAACGTAAGGATACGTCATATGTATTATTTTTGATATACAAAAGTGGGACCGGTAGGCGTGGCCTTTGCACTCACTAAAATGGCGGAAGAGCAGAACCGGATTTACAAGTTTTTATTGTACTTTTGCTGGTTAAGTATCATTATTTGAATTATAAAAATATTATTTTCCTTTTTATTGACATTGACTTAAAAGGTGGTGGAAGGCCGAGGTTATAAAAGAAGGAGATTTAATAGCTTAAATATGCCCGGTTTTCAGCCGAGAGGTGCTGAATAAAGTAAATGAAAGAAATAAAATATAACTGATTTAATTATCACTCAAGTGGCTATTAAGCGCTGGAGAATATATTATTTGCAAAATTGCAACTAATCAATGACCGTGATAT